CTGGCTGGAGTCATTTGAGCCCGGTTTTTCTCCTGCCCAGGCATGCGGTCGGACTTGAAGATCTACAAGGTCCCTTCCGACCCCACTTCTATGATTCTATGAAAGCAAAGCTGAAGATTGCTGCTTGTAAGGCCCGAGCAACCCAAATTGCTATTTACTTTCAGGCAGAACTGTTATTGCAATGTTAAGGAGCACAAAGGCAAAAGGAAACTCGTGAGTCTGTTCTTCTCTCCACTGTGTTGAAGAGAAGACTTCTATTGTAAGTGAATATGGTGAAAAAAAACCTGGATTACAAAAATACAGCAGTCTTGGATTGTTGCCTCACACTTCGTAAGTCCACTGTGACTATTCCACCAGTAGTTCTCAATTCTGGATCCACGTTCCTGCCACGGCAGCTTTTTTGGGAACACAGAGCAAATGGGATGATGAATGAAGACACTTGGTTGACTCATGAACTTCATATTGTTGCTTCATCCTTATTGAGGAAGGTTTCTACAGTACAATGGTGACTTCTAGTTACGGATCGAGTCAAGAATTCCATGCTTTCTACCCGTATTATTTTTGTAATTTTCCTTTCTTCACCCCTATCTACCAATTGGCCCAATCCACTTGTTTCATCTTGCATTTTAGATTGTTGTCTCTTCGTGGCCAGGACTGTTATTTAATGACATATTTGTATGATGACAACCACTACTTGTCCCCACCCTGGTTGGCAGCCAAGTGCTGTGAGTGTTGAAGACCACATTTAAGGAGATGACCCTACCCTACATAAGGGACCAAGTGTTAGTTTCCCGCAAGCAGGCTGCCAATCATGTGGAAGTGTACATGCATTTTGGATGAATCTCTATGCGATGGGGACGGAATAGGGATCAAATTCAGTTCAGCAAGAGACCTCATGGTAAGTCTGGCAGAAATCTAATCTCCTGCAATCTAACTTTTTTAACTGAACAAAATAATCATGGTTGACAGATGCAGCTTGAGCTGAGGTTTTCCATGCCACTCGCTCATCCCAGTTCTTTCTGGGGAAGCAGTGAGCAGGTCGACTGAGCACTGTGAAAGTGGAGCAGGAACTTGGAATTCACTCCTGGGTTGTCATCTCTTGGGGAGATGACCAGTACCATTATAGCTGGGCACAAGTGATGCCAAGGTGACCATTAACTATCTGATTACTATCTGATTTATGTCCACCATAAAATACTAGTTATTTTTAAATTGGCACCTTCAACAGAGAACCTCTTCTCAGACTATGGTTTCAGAGCTTTTTGGGGGGTTTATCTTGGCATCTTTCGGCACCAAATTGCTTCATGTCACATTTTTGTTCTCCTAAGAACTAATTTTGCAAGCTCTGCCAGGATAAGGGCAGGGAAAATGGCTGTAATATGGATAAAAACCCAGGTCTACAACTCAAGTCCTGTCTGCTGGAAATACCTGACAGTGATCAAACTATTTTTACAACAGACCGTTTAGTAAAACTCACAGGCTTTCCAACTTTAGACCAAACCTGGAACAAAAGAAACCAGGATGGGGTCATACAACTGAACTACATCTCTCATAAGGCATGAGGGCAGCACTTCTGGAGGTGGAGGGGGTTTGTTTGTTTTTTTTGAAGACCAGCTCTACTGTTCAAGTCCAGTTTAAAAGCATTCTTGCTTCTCAAGCCTGGCATTTTATGATACCTTTCATTCTGGTTTTGAGAACACAAAGTCGTGCTATCCTTGCTTCTAAGGGATCTGAGTGCCTCAGTGAAGATGGATCTGAAAGCAAGAATGAAGCCTTGCAGGAGAAGAGGGAGGGACAGGAAGTATTTGGAGGGAAGACAATAAGTTAAGGGCCTAAAAATCCAAGCCAGCTCCCACTGAAATAGTTGTTCATGCCCAATGCAGCAGGAGCCAAGCCTAAATGGAAAATCAAATTGTGCCTTGACATGGTGCTGAAATAGTGCCTCATGAGACAAAGCGAGAAAGGAAAAAGTGCCCTGGAGAGAATGCTCCATGACCGCAGGTGCTTCCAAAGTAGCAGCCAAGAAAGCTGCAGATGGTTGAATAAGGCTCAGGGCAGAAAAATATGGTCCCTTTGATAGTAGCTGCAGCACCAAACAGGTTTCCTGATATGCTTCCCAGAACTGAGGCATCCCTTTTCTTCTGCAGATGGAGTAGATGAATTACCATGGTACAGGTAGACAATTAATTTGATGACTATATATCCAAGCGATAGAAATGAGCTCATAATTTCAATGACATTCCCCTTGTTTCAACCTGTATATAATAGGGTCTTTGGGACCTCATTTTTGCATTGGAACCCCCATTTGAAAAACAGAAATTTTTATTTTATTTTTCAGTCTAGATAATAAATTTGAAGCAGGAATTCATCTGAAGCCACAGAGCAAGATTTATTGGAACTTCTCAAATTCGTTATAGTTTGCTGCTATATGGAAACATCACATTGGTATATTACATTTTTTGATTTAACCCTAATTTCAGCTATAAGTCAACTGAACCCCCCCCCACCAGTACTACAGTAATGGCATCTTCAATAAATAAAATTACAAAAAAAATCTAATAAAGTTGCACAGACACAGTACAATCCACTTCAAATTCAATATTGCCAACATGTTAAGTTTTTTTTATAAATAAGTTTTAACTCCCTCTAAAGTAACTGCTATTTTTTGGTTTCAATGTTTATATAGTCAGATATATACAGTCAGGTATATGAAAGGAAACTGATTATTTATTCTCAGCAGAACTCTTACAAGACTACCTTACTTTTGTAACAACAAATGTTTTAGATCAACCATTAAGCAGATTAAAGCAATCTGTGTGAAGCTTTTTTGGAAACATCTCTATTTTCGCTTTTATACCAAAACTGCAGCTCAGTTTGATCCCATCCCATGTCATTATATTTAGACAATAAAAGCAGAGTTCAATTCTTTTAAAAAGGGGACTTAATAAAGTGAACACATTTAAGAGAGTCTGTGAAAATCTTCCAAATTCACAAGAACAAAGCCTGGTCCATATTATCTGTCTTAGTAAACTTTATGATATTTGTGCTTAATACTGTTTTTAAACATCCATCGTGTTGGAAAAAAAATCTTTTATATAAGAGTGGCTTTGTTCCATTACTTATAAAAAAAAAAAACACAAAACTCTGATCCTGCCATCTTACAATCCTCAGTGAAATCAATGAAGTTCCATGCAAATACAAAGAGTTTGCCCGCACAGGTTTGACTGCTGACTTTCCAGGGTGAATTTTAAAGCACAGTTTAAAGCCCAACAACACATAACCGTGTGTCCCTGTGCACAGTAACTTCTCTAAGTTTATCACAAACCAATCATCGTGTCAGTTAATATACCAAAGAAATATCCTTAATAAATGCTAAAAATAGTTAAAATACACATCCTCAGACTTTCCGGGCTTACTTCAATGAACGTCTGGGTGCATGAGGAATGCATGATTGTGTCTATGCCCATTGAAGGGTTGAGAGAAAAAAAAAAATAGTGGCATTTACAGGCTTAATTACACAACAATTCTCTAAACACTTAAGCATGTGTTGGCTTGTTCCAGTTAGCCACCTGTTTATTCCAGCCATTACTGCTGAAGCTGCCATCATCAGTAATGCACTCTTTTAAGATAATGCAAGATCAAGCAGGATCCAATGTGCTCAAGGAGATGGAACTTTTACAAAGATCATGTTTATCTGGTCAAATTGTAACAAAATACAAAAATTCAATTTTTTTTAAAGCAAACAGCTATTAAAGTTATACAATTTCTGGAGTGGAAGCCTGAAAATTTAATCATAAAAATAGCTACCCCTATATAACAAACCTTAAAGTAATCAATGATATGGTATTCAAACAATACAGAAATTCCCTTTTTTTTTTTTGTAAGACATGAAAAGAAAAATTAGAAGAACTGTTTTATCACAGTTTTCTGTATGGAAGTTTGTCAGTGTCCATAGACTGAACCGTAATTAAAAACATAGTTATCACAAGTAAATGAGCGCATAGACACTAAGCTGACTTGGAAGTGATACTTTTAACCCTTTTCATGCCAAGAAGGCAAAACTCAGGGCCACGTTTTCCGAGTATTCAAGAACCTACCATACTGCTTATACCCAGAGCTGTATGAGAGCGCCTTATCGCAAGTGCTTTGCCCGTCTATTGCTTAACGCTGTCCGAAGCAGCTTTGTGAGAAATACTACAACTAATTCACATGCTCATATCAGCTCTGTTTGCAGAATCCAGCTATGGGATACGAGGGATATCTATTACAAACTTTTACTTGAAAAGACATCTACATTTGGTCCAAAAAAAAAAAAGAGTCCAAAAACAAGCAAGGAGACATGGGGGCTCTGCTGCTTAACATGGCTGACTGGTTTTAAAAAACAGGTTTATGGCAATAAGGAATAGGAAGGGCTGCCCATGAAAGGCACAAAACTGTGAAGAATTAGGTAGCCTCTTTCAGAAACAGATTTGGATACTGTCCTTATTTTGTGAGTAACCAAACTTAAGTTAGCGAAGAACCCTGAAATTTGTATACAGTAGCCACAAGAAATTACTTCCTATTTAAAAACAAATTCATTTTCAATTAGTTCCTCTTCCAATCACCTTTCAATACATGGAGCATTTAAAAAACTTTTTAAAACAATTACAAAAAGAGTGGACTGTAGTGGCAGCTATTAAAGCAAAATTCAAGCAGTTTCAAGTGAACTTTCAAGTAGAAAACTAGCCTTCTTTGTCAAAAATCTTCACAACTTTTTCAAAAACCTGAAAGAGGAAAAAAACGAATTAACATGATAGAATTCTTAGTAATCAGCAATTTTAAGTCGAACTAACATACAGTAACTTGTGGTAAATGTTTTCAGAAAATGTACACCAAGTCCCTTGACCCTTTGAGCTCAGTACAATTTATATGCCTGTTCATATCCCTCACATGGTAGTGCAAGAACAAAATCTGAAGCAAAAAGCTTCAAAAGGAATGGTAATTTAAAACTAAACAGAAAATGAAATAAAATAAACTAAGCCTGTAGTCTCACAAGCAGATCAATACAAGTGGGCCCCTGTAGTGCGACTTCACTTGGGACTCTAAGTAGAGGCAAAGGCTTGTTTGTGCAGATCTGACTGCAAGATGAAGACTCAGTTTCCTAACCTCCCTTATTAGTAACACATCAAGTAGCAAAACCTAAACATGTTCTCCTGAAAATATATTGCATTTTAGCATCTCATTCAGCTCCAAAAGTAAACAGAAGCTAGTGAGTTTTCTTTTGTTTCAAGCTTCCTTTAGGTTCCCATGCATTAGCAGAAAAAAAAGGCAATGTTTGGATTGTGCAGGAATATTTGTTTTAAAAAGAAACCAGCTACCCCCTTCGAGGGTAACAATTAAGGTTCAATGGAAACATTTTGTTTCATGAATGCACAGTGTGTGTGTACATGCATGCATGCATATATAAAAATAGCAGATAGTCAAGGCAGCAGCAGATTCCAGTCGAGACTGGGGAGGCAGCCCCTGGGTTCTGCAACACATTTCACTTACTTTTGGGTTTTGTAGAATGTAACTGTTACCAATTCTAAGTTCTAGGCCAAAAAGTTGACGTCAAAGTCCATTTCAACTATGCACGAACACAAACCAACATTCAACTTTCAAACCTCCTTGACCTTCAGGAGGGTTTGGCTCCAGAACTAGACTTTGTGCCTGAGCCCTCTCTACACGGAGTATTTAGATTAGTAAGTCTGTACTATGATCCATCCTGGAGGTCACAGTAACTCTGGTTCTCATCTTATAGTTTCATAGTTTCACAGCTTGTAGGGTCAGAAGGGACCTGAGCAGATCATCGAATCCGATGGCAGGAAAGAGTACTTGTTTCCCTAGAGCCTTGGTCCTGAACACACAAAGGCTAAGAGCACTGTGCTGTAATGCAGAGGTAGGCAATCTTTTCTAGCTACAGGCCAGAACGACTTATCCTGAGATGGAGGTGAGCAGGCACTGGGACCCATAACACCAGTGTTCATCCCCATAGTGGCACAGGGCGAGCACCCACAGAAGGCACAACCCCTGCTGCCCAAGCCCCACGTCCATGGGCCAGATGCAAAAGTTTCATGGGCTAGGTGTAGGCTGCAAACACCCAATGCAATATATTCAGCAGGAAGGACTTTATCATTCTAGTTTTATAACTCCACCAGAAGCCCACTTTAAACCCTCATGGAAGCCAGTGCTAGTTTTTAAGAAGAAAAAAAAACAGGCAGAACAGAACAGACTTTTGCAAGAACCCTGCAAAATCGTATTTTATGTTTGACAGAAGACCACACTGTAAATAATTACAAAGAGGGACACTCATTTGGAAGAACTAGACAAAGATGACTATCAACTAGTATACTCTGCCTTGTCAAATGTAGCCCCAAAATTTATGTCCCGAAAACTTACTTCATCAACGGATTTGGAGGCATCCACTTTTCTGACTTTCCCCATTTTCTCATATTGGTCTATTATGGGCTTGGTTGACTGCAGATATGTTTGAATTCTAGAAGAAAGGAGAGACGCATTACAAAATGAAAAG